AATAATAATAATAATAAAGTTGGAAGGGACCTTGGAGGTCATCGAGTCCAACCCCCTGCTCAGGCAGGAACCCTACACCATTTCAGACAAATGGCTGTCCAGTCTCTTCTTAAAAACTTCCAGTGTTGGAGCATTCACCGCTTCTGGAGGCAGGTTGTTCCATTGGTTAATTGTTCTAACTGTCAGGAAGTTTCTCCTTGGTTGGCCTACAATGCACCGTTTCACCCAGATAAAGGTTATGGGAATGAGAATTTCATTAGTACATAGATACTGTGGATCAATTCAGTTTTCAAAGGACATATGACATTGAACTTTCCTTAGAAACATCTGCCTAATGCATTTATCATTTATGGGAAACCATAATTTCTGAAACATCTATGGAAAAAAATCAACACCCTGATTTAAATCTTGGCAAGAAAGAAAGGATTTCTTTAATCCATTAAGATTCCCCACCCTTTCTCAAAATGTATAAAAGCGTCTCTTTTGTATTTTATGCCAAAGCACATGGGTGCTTTGGGAACAACGGTTTATAACCTTTCCAGAAGAAGATATTAAGCTCCAACATCCACTAGCAAACCTACAAGTACGGCTGGAAAAAGGTAGGACTTTCAAGTGTGAGCGGGTAAAACCCAAAAGACTTTCTCAGGGAAAATCAAAAGCAAATATTCATTTCCAAATCAGGGATAATAACATCAGCTAGAAGCAGTGGTTCTCAACCTGTGGGTCGGGACCCCATTTGGGGTCGATCAACCATTTCACGGGGGTCGCCAAGCAAGGCTGTCCGCCATTTTTTTGTCTGCCATTTTTTTTGTCCGCCATTTTTTTCCCCTTTTCCGGCGGGTGTTTTACCTCCCTTAGGCTGGGCCAGCTGGTGGTCGGCCTTCTCCATCTCTGCCGCTTGCCAGCTATGCCTCAGCCGGCACAGGGGGCAGAACCATGCATGCGTGGCACTCCCGGGCAGGGAAAGTCCTCGACTTACGACCGGTTGGGTAGTCCTCGACTTACAACCGGTTTAGTCCTCGACTTACGACCGGTTTAGTCCTCGACTTACGACTGGTTTAGTCCTCAACTTACGACCGGTTGGGGTCGCGGCATTAAAAAGGTTGAGAACCACTGAGCTAGAGCATCTAATATCATTTTCTTTCTGTAAAATGTTCTTGCAGTTGCTTTATGTGATAGCATTGCCTCTGCTTGTTTGACTTACTTTATACTGTATCTAAGTGATAGCTTTACTTTCTCTTGTGAGGTAAGATGGCGTCTGAAAGAAATAGATCATAATTAGCATGGCAAAAGAGCGGTTGAAACACAATGAAGAGATTATTTTTAAAAACCTCCTTCAATTAATTTGTTTTTTTTCCCTAGCATCTACAATAATAACAGTAGCAATCATTTTTCCACCCAATCTTTAATCTTTATAAATATTGTACAAGAATCTATGAATTGCCAATGTGCATCTATTTTCCTAAAACTCCAACTCTCCTTCCAGATCTCTTGCGGAACTCTTGCTGGCCAGTGGTAGATATGGGATGTTTATTTATTCTGTCTATATATTTAATGCATTAAACGTTTATTTATTGGCTGTCTCTTGGCTTGCTTTCACGAGTTCTGTATGATGTCAGAATCCAATTATATTTCATCTCTAGTTATCGACTATGGAAAACCCCATTTCTGCCCTCTCTGGATTTTGTCATACAATGAAAGGGAAGGGGGGTGAACAAAGGGGTTTTATGGCCCTCACTTCCTTAGGCACAACTTCAAAGGGACTGAATGTGGATACCACCAAAAGGACTCATCAATAACAATGGGGCCATCAGCTTCATCTAATCCCCTCTGAAGTCTCCCTTCCACCAGCAGTGAAGAAAAATGGGGTGGAAATGTAACACCTGGGATTGCCACTGGAAGGACGGTGGGGTGGGGCTGTTGGGGAACCCTTAAAACCTTGAACCATAAGGCTTTGGCCCCAAGTCCTGTCTAGAACGCCTGCATCCATTTTTCCTTAATAAAGATGCCTGTTGGAAAAAATATTCCAAGAGTTCTGTCTTCTTAAGGTGCAAAGTGGGGTGGGTCCTGACAGTATTGTCACCAAGAAAATTGGAACAGCTTTGTCTTAAGAGAAAATTCCCTTTTAATCACTTAGTTTTCTTTTGGCTGCAAAACATTTCTGAAAATAATTTAGCATAATTTAGGACATTGTATGCCTGTTTTGCCTCTCTCTGCAGGTGTTTATGTACAAAAGGAAAAAAAGAAAAATACAGAAGAAAAGAAAATTGAGCTGAGCAGAATGGCAGAGTTTGGCCCTAACTCATTATTTGCTTCAGAGATAAAATATAATACCTATGACAATCTAAATTCGTCATTATTTGCTTCAGATGTGGAATATAATACCTACAACAATCTCAATTGGACTGAAATTGAAAATTTGTTAATTCAAAGTGTTCCAAATTTTACTGAGTTTATCATCTTTCATGTCATTCTTTTTACTGTCTGCTTTTTGGGACTTGTAGGGAATGGAAAAGTCATCTGGATTCTTGGTTTCCATATGAAAACAAATTCTTTCTCCATCTATGTCTTGAATTTGGCTGTGGCTGATTCTGGAATACTTATACTGAAAGTTTTGGTTAAAATATTTGAGTTTCTTAATGCATATCATTTTAGAATATATTTAATTTTTTCCAGTCTTTATTTTGTGATGCACAATACTAGTCAACTTTTATTAATAAGCATCAGCATGGACCGTTGTGTATCAGTGCTTTTTCCAATTTGGCATCAATGCCATCGGCCACCCAAATTGTCCCTCATTGTGTGTGTTATCACTTGGGTTCTGCCCTTTGTGTACTTTGCCTTGGAAATGGTGATGACATTTTCAAATACTTTTCTAATGTTTCAGATTATTTTCAGTTCACTGATTTCTTACCCAATAGTGGTCATTTTCACTTTGATCCTGCTTGTTAAAATTTTCATTAAACCACGCCAGCAAAAGCGGAAAAAAGTGTTGACGGTAGCCTTGCTTGCACTTGTGTGCTTCATTGTACTTCGTTTGCCTCTGACCATATTTTCCATTATTGTTTATGCTATGCCAGTGATGGTGAACCTTTTAGAGACCGAGTGCCCAAACTGCAACCCAAAACCCACTTATTTATTGCCGGGTGCGAGGTGGGAGGGGCCCATTGGGTGGGCGTGGCTGTAGTGGTAACTGCTGACTGGGTGGGACTAAAAAGTTCAATCAATCAATTCCAACTTTGCGAGATCTTTTTTTTTCCCCGCAAGAAGTTGAAATTGATTGATTGATTGAACCTTTTTTTTTTTTTTGCACACGGCGGTGGAGGCCTAAAGCGAAAAGGTTTTATAACACCCAGCTGAAGGTCTAGGACTGGGGCAACGGCGCGCGTGCCTACAGAGAGGGCTCTGAGTGCCGCCTCTGGCACCCATGCCATAGGTTCGCCACCACTGTGCTATGCTAATAAACAAAGATGCAGCACGGGCATTGGAATACATGCTTTTGAACTCACCGATAGTAAATGAATTGCCGGATAACATTTTTTTCGATATTTTGTATAGTATTCAGTCCTGGATTGAACCTATTATTATTTCTTCATGGATATGTGACATGTGTATTGCAGTTAATAGCAGCATCAACCCAATCCTTTATTTCCTGGCTGGGAGAAATAAAGAGGACCGATCCAGAGTATCCATGAAACTTGCACTCCGCAGGGTTTTCAGAAATGAGGAAGATATCAAGGAAGATGGGACACAGCCTGATGAAACCCAGTTGTGAACATTTCAGGAAAAGATTGAGGTTCCTTGTTTAACTGGTTGGGCTAAGAAGATGGGTTTTTGAATTTTTGTACATTGTGGGTTATTAAGTATAGCCATGTACAACCAGTTCTCACCAAAGTTTTCCCCACATGTTACATCATGAAGACAGAAATAATATTCTACAAAAGAAGTACCAGAGAAATCAACCATCAAGAAGCTCTCCCCATCTGAGAACTGGAAAAAATGCTTGGGACAAAGCTCGCCCTCTGTCTGGATTTGTCAGATTTTAGTACATGCTGGATCACAGTTCTAAATTCTTTGAAAGAGTTCATGAGATTTCAGCACTATTATTTGGGCTGAAGGCCACAAAGGTTTGCAATATCTCTAGTTTCCATCCTTCTGTACACAACTTCATTTGTACCACAGGCAGGCTACAAAACAATGAATTCCAGTATTAAATCATCCTAGCTCTAGTTCAAGAATCTTGTTCCAGGTTCTCTTGGAACCAACAAGCCCCAACAACCAACACTGTTTAGAATTTGTTTTATTTTGCCATTTATTCTCTTCTTCCCATTAAACTCTGTACTCATCTACAAATCATTTGACATGGTTTATTTGGGTATAGGGGAGATCATTTCACCTTAAGATGAAAATTGTTCTTTACATGTGTAAGGAGAATCGGTGAGAACCAGCTGCAAAATATTTGCTATAGCTTACTATAAGTCTATAAGCTGAAAAATATTTTGCTACATCACCGTGCTCATAAAATGCATCTCTGATAAACTGATTTTTTCTTCTAATCCTACTTTCAAATCCCCAAATGGTCATGCTTCTTCGTGGCAGCCCCTGAGATATTGGAACACTGCTATCATGTCCCCCGTTGTCCTTCTCTTCGTTAAACTAGACATACCCAATTCCAGCAGCCGTTCCTTATATGCTTTAGCCTCCAGTCCCCTAATCATCTTTGTTGCTCTTCTCTGTACTCTTTCTAGAGTCTCAGCATCTTTTTTACATCGTGGTGACCAAAACTGGATGCAGTATTCCAAGTGTGGCCTTACCAAGGCCTTGTAAGGTGGTATTAACACTTCACGTGATCTTGATTCTATCCCTCTGTTAATGCAGCCTAGCACTGTGTTGGCCTTTTTGGCAGCTGCAGCACACGACTGGCTCATATTTAGGTGATTATCCACTAGGACTCCGATGATATGGACACATCATAAGCAGTGAAGAAGACTCGGTGCTAAGGACAGCCATGGACTCTGATGGCCAGCAATGTCATAGCAGACCCAAGAAATGGTGGAGGATGGCGTCAAGGAGGACATGAAATGTGTGGGAATCACTCCTGAAGATACCCTGGGTCAAGCCAAATGGAGATGGCTTTGCCAACAAGCTGACCCTGGGATAGCGCAAGAATAACACCTGGAAGAAGAAGGTTGCAGTATCACATCTCACTTTTGTTTCTCCCTCTGCTTCTTTCTCCTACTTCTTCCACAGAAAAGCAAAAGAAGAAATTTCAGCAGTTATGAAACTATCAGCTATTCTTATCTGTTTCAACAAAAGATACGTTAGTAACCTGAAGGAAAAGCTTTTTCCTTGGTGTCTTAATTGTATACTTGGAAAGGAATTTTGATTGTTTTCTTTTCTTTTATTCTTGTGTTTGCACCATGACAAATTCAAAGGGGATAAGAAATTTCAGAACACAGTGGCTTGCACAAAAGTCCTTCAGCAACCCTTTAAACTGAAGATTTCTTTTCCTGAGATCATAATACAATTGCGGAAGGCAGCTCGTTGTTTTGAGAAAAGATACTGCTGCTTTATGAAGTGGCCAAAAAGGGCTATATAAGCAGCCCTTTGCACACCAGAGTGCTGCATGAAAACATATTTAATATTATTGTGCTTATGTTTTGGACTGTAGCTGCATTTTCTTAGATTTCATTGTCTAAAACCTCTGTGTCATCAACTCCAGAAACGTATGCTGAAAACTGTTAATGCACTAATACAGTACAATAAAACACTTTTGATAAAATGCTATAGCTGTTCAGAATATCTATATTTCTTGGTAAATCATTGTATTGTCATCTACTAAGAGCTTTCAGTATTACCAATATCCTTTATGGAGTGCATCTAAGAATCTGTTCTTGGCATCTTCGATCTGTCCCTTGCTGTTTCCATCCATCTTAAGTTTCAGAGTAATAAAAGGATAAACTAATGCTTGTGAGGGATTCTTTGGAGCAAATACGTAGAAATATCCTTGAAAATATTATTTCCTGCTAAGGTTGAAGTTGCCCTGATGACCATAATGGGTGCTAAAATATTTTAAATCATTAGGGTGTTGTTGGTTTTTGTTTTTGTTTTTTTGGTTTTTTTTGTTTTGGTTCTTTAATGGAAAAAGCATACTATCCATATTCAGTGAAAAAGATATTGATTTAAGATTTTGATAATTTTATAATCCAAAGTCGCATCTGCTATTGCATTAAAGTCTCCCATTATACAAAGATTAGTATACAAGAAAAAATATTTAATTTTAAATAAAGTCCTGCCTTCCAGGAAAATGTTGGGGATATATTCATAGACATATCTACCTTGAAAATAGCCTATAGTGGACTCTATAGTAGCACAGTCAAATATTAGCGCATGAAAATGTTACTGACATTTTGTATTATATCATGAACTATTTTTCTGGACCGGGACGCCTTGCGCACAGTCACCCATGCCCTCGTCACCTCCCGCCTGGACTACTGTAATGCTCTCTACATGGGGCTTCCCTTGAGGAGCACTCGGAGGCTCCAGCTAGTCCAGAATGCGGCCGCGCGGGCGGTGTTGGGAGGGACTCGTCGCTCCCATGTAACACCATTGCTGCGCGAGCTGCACTGGCTGCCGGTGGCTTTCCGGGTGCGCTTCAAGGTGTTGGTTATCATCTTCAAAGCGCTCCATGGCATCGGACCTGGATATCTCCGAGACCGCCTTCTGCCTCAGAGTGCCTCCCATCGGCCGGTACGCTCCCACAGAGTGGGTCTCCTCGGGGTGCCGTCAGCCAGACAGTGCCGGCTGGCGACCCCCAGGGGGAGGGCCTTCTCGGTGGGAGCTCCCACCCTCTGGAATGAACTACCCCCAGAGATCCGGGTGATCCCGGATCTCCCTTCCTTCCGCCGCGCCCTTAAGACATGGTTATTTCAACAAGCAGGACTGGCCTAGGGGGAGATTTTTAGCGGGGTTTTAAAAGCAATTTTAAATTGACACAGGCCAAATCCAATATTTCATTTTAATTATGTTTTAAATTGGGGTATTTTTGTATTTGTCTTTTATCAGGCTGTCAGCCGCCCTGAGTCCGTAAGGAGAAGGGCGGGGTACAAATTCAATAAATAAAT